TGCAGCTGTTTCATTTAGGAACATAGGATAACTACTACTGTGGTGGGCTGACCCTGTCCAGCAGCCAGACTCCCACACAGCTGCCTACTCACCCTTGCCCCCCAAAACAGGATGGGGGAGAGAAGAGGAAAAACAAAACCCAGAAAACTTGTTTAACTGGTGAAGAGAAGAGGAAAGGAAAACCACAAGCAATCAACCACAGTTGATCCTACAAACAGAACAGCCAGTCTCCAAGCGCCGGCTGCTGCCCTGGAAGCCAAAAAAATCCTTCTTTCTCTACCCCTGTTTTCATTGCTGAGGATGACATTATATTTAGGCCAATTTAGGTCAGCTGTCATGGCTGTGTTTCCTCCCAGTCTCTTGTTTACCTCTTACCTATTTGCTGCAGAAAGTGGGGACAGAGTGAGGAAAAGAAGAGGCTTTGATGCTGTGCATGCACTCTTCAGCAATAACCAAAACACTGGTGTGTTACCAGCACTGTTTTAGATACAAGTCTAAAGCACAGCACCGTACAGGCTGCTATGGAAAAAGTTAACTCCATCCTAGCCAGAACCAATTCTGGTATCTTGTTTAAGGTACTTCAGAAAAGGTTGTAAGTAAGTGTCTCTGAATCAACAGAGAGGATTATAGAGGGAACTTAGAATTGATAGGCACCTCCAGAGGATGGTCCCTTGGATATGGTTTTGGCTCTCTCCTTTCACTGGAGAGGCATTCCAATACCTAGCTTTTAGACAGTTGAAGTGAACTGGGATGACCTTCATTCTTCAGTGATCAATCCTGAGTCTTTCTGCTGTTCTCCCTGTATTGGTTGTTATGCTACAGCTATCAGTGTAGTTGTCATGAGTCCCATAACAGGTTTGATACAATTCATCATTTAACCTTTACATACAGTAAACAAAGTAATTTTAAATCTTATTTTTTCATAATTTTCCTCAGCACTGAGTCCCAGAGGTTAGTGTCATGTATTTTGTCCTTGTAGAGTATACTTCTACTGGCTAAGCCTCAATGCTTCCTGGCTGTGAATCCTACCTTCTCAGATGTAGAGTGAAGCTTCTCTGCTGCTGTTAAAATGACCAAAATCCTGAGACTGAGCAAAAGCTATAACCTCTGATAACTGTCAGCCCAAAATAAATATTGATTTTAAGTGTCAATTTTTAGTAAAGATAGATGTCAAAGCCCAACAAAACCAATTATAGTGAAATAAAATGTATTTCATAACTCTAGTTTAAAGTATGCCAAAACTTTTATAGTGTAACATGGAAAGACAGAGAATCTACCTGGCTGTATAGGTACAATATATCTAGAGAGATACTTACGGAGTTTATCTGATACATATTGTATCGATGTAGCCAAGTGTGTTGTATTTCTGCCATAGTTTACTTTGCTTTTCACTTTCCTCGCCATTTTTAATTAACTTTTAGTGCTGCTTTCTTCAGCCCGGCTGTCCCTATGCATGTGTGTGTGCCTTTCTGCCTTCACTGTGGTCAATAATCTTTGAACTAGTTGGTCATTTCTAACTTGTTTGGAAGCAAAAATGTCTCATATACACTAACTTCCCAGAAGTTTAATCAAACCAGGCAGCTGCTAGTGACCTGCTGACAGGAAACACTGTGGTATGAGCTCATCTCTTCTAGATAACAGCGAATCCACATGCAAAAGAGTTGTCCACTGCCTTTGTCTTGGGAAAGACTTTGCCAGAGCCTACACCTTTCCAGCCCCCAGAGAACTTGAACATGAGGGGAAGAGCCAAAAGAAACACCAAATTGCTGGGTCCTTTGGCAGCCTATTTCCTTGTTTCTTCTTTGTGCAAGGTGGGCTGAACCTGAATATAGTGGCCAAGGCAAAAAAAAAAAAAAAATCATGCTGTGTGCTAGTACGATATCACAGGATTATACTCCTTTATTGGTTTTGGTATTTTAACTTTTTCATAAAGACTGATGATTTTGTTCTCAACCACCACCACATGTTCAGGAGCCAGTTTCCTTGAGTTGTCTATACTGGTGCCTGATGTGTTTTGGGATGTTTAAAAGAAATTCAAAACCTACCCATGTGCATAAGCAGTTTGTATTCTTCTCTACGCATCATTCTTCTCTTGTGTGTGTTAATTTCATGTACTATGTCAGTTTTCTTAATTTTTTCATTCTCTGCAATTTCTCATGTTTTTCTATTTGACCCACCTACCTAATTTTGCATGACACAAACTCCATCACTTTTGTTCTTCACCAACATCCCAAACACATGTCTTATTTTTAATCCTTGAGTCATCCTACCTGTAACCCCTTTCCATCCTGAGATCGACCATTTGTTCCTCCTCTTTGTTTCTGCTCTCTCAACTGTGGGCTCTCCTCTCCCCCCATCCCTGCAGGAGTTTACCTCTCACCTTGTGGTTGCTAAGTTTGCTTTACAGCCTCTTCTCAGGAACTTTATCAAAAGCCTTTGAAAGCAAATAAAATATAGTCATTGGTTGTCCTTTATCCACTGTTTTGTTAACTCTTTCAAAGGCCATGAACAGGTTTGAGGTTTCTTCAAGACAGATCATGCTGCTTTGTCCCTATCGTATCACCCTCATCTACCACTCCTGCATTATGACGCTCTTTAATGACTTCCCTGTATCAGGAGTGCGTTGCTTAAGAGCAGAAAGCAGAGGGAGATACTTGTCTGCGGAGACTTTCTCTAACAGCATTCTAGCTGGTTGGTTTATGTAGGCTTTAAGCCCTGAGGTAAGGAAACAGGAAAACAGATTAATAGACATGGCAATCTCCCCCAAGATACTTTTAGATAAACACAGCCTTGGGCATTTAGAAAGTCGGATTTATTACACCTTAAAAGAGGTTTCTGAAAACCATGGCTGTTTTGTTTTAAAGTATGCAGCCAAAGGCATACACTTCTTTAATCTTTGCCACTCTTTTGTGATAGACAACCAAAAAGCACAGGTCCCAGGGTTTAGAAACAGTTGTGTATAAACTAGAAACAATCTCAGCAGGCCTTTATAACAACAAAGATCTCTTTGGGGGCACTGAAGTGGATTTGAACTTAAGCCAAAACACATTTCCAGTGCACAAGCTGTACAGAAACACACAAATGCACAACTGATATTGGTAGGGTAATATAATTGCCAACGTTTTCCTGGAAAAATGAGAATGCAGACAGTGATGTTTGAAGGTAGGTGGGGTTTTATGCTCGAAATAGCACTGAAGAGCAGTGTTTGGCTTGCGCTGGAGGTCTGGGATCCCAGCTGTGACCCTATTGCCTGCAAAGTGGCATTACCTGTTCTCTTCACTAGCTGGCTTTAACCCAAGGTCCCAATACCTGCTCTGAGATGTTGGTGAGTGTACTGCACAAGCCCAGCTCAGATAACTCAGTGATAAGCACTTACTTTAGGGGGACTTTGGACTTTTTCATTCATTTTCCGTGAGCTAAAAAATCTTTGAAAGGGTGGCTTTGCCATTCAGTGTTCATCTCTTTCTTTACCTCCACAAAGGCAGGAAGCATGTATTTGTTGATTTGCTTCTGACATGGGAAAGAGAAACTCATATGCTTAGCCACTTTCACCTTGTAATTTTAATTTGTCCCTGAGTGGTCCCACTGACTCCCTCTGATCCATTCCCAGCAAACTGGTAAGTACTGTAATCTGAATTTCTCTGACTCCTCAAAATGCTTCTTTCTCTTACAGTTTGTGCTCTATAGTGTTTTTTTTTTTTATATATTGATGCACTAATGTAAGAAATGTAAGGAGGTCACTTTGTTATTTGGGAAAAGAAGAACTAAGCTCAGCTTTCAATGCTGCCACGTTGATTTGGTTTTGGGGTTTCTTTTTGATCTTTTTATTTTATTGGTTGTTTTTTGTTGTTGTTTGTTTGTCTGTTTTTTAATATTACAATATTCTTGAGAATGGTCTCAGTTCTGCAAGGAATTGCTAGTCCCTCTGGAGATGCTGAGGGCTGCCGGAGGACTATAAAACCAGCACTGTTCATAGCCAGAATTGTTAAAATGAGTACATAGTTCTTGGACTGCAGCACTGGGCTGAGATTTATAGGATTCCCTTCTTCTAACCTGGTTCCTGTCTCAGATAAACCCACCTGCACATGTAAAGGGCACCCACACACACAGAAACAAGCTGCTGATATTGTGTGTTAGCGGCTGGGGCTAGTACTTTGTCTTCCCTTCCTGTTTGTCTACAGAAGCCTCCTTGGGTACTCCTTGTCCCCAGCGTTTGGAATGTGCCTTTTTCTGCACTGCCTAATGCAGTTTGCTTGTGCTTAGGTGATTTACTAAAGGCTGCATAACTGCTTGGAATTATGCAAGACTGTTTTTGGCAGTGTTGGTGTAGATATTTCAGTGCCCTGCCTCAGATTGATAGTGTTACTCAGGGAAGAGAAGGCAGCTCTGGAAAATGTTTTGAATTCAAAAGGAAGAAGAATTTCTTTAATCGCTCAGGCTCTCAGGAAACCCAAGACCCAGAGGGACAGTCTCCTTGTAGTTGAGACTGTCCCAGAAAATCAGTGGCATCTGAAAGCAAGATCACAGCCAAGGAAGGTGCTGCAATGATGGAGAGGGCCTCAGCCAGTGTGAATGAAATGGCTACTGCCTCTGCTGCAGCTAAAAATTGGCAGGGAGACTTGGGGTTCGGTATTTCAGGAAGAACTGCCTACTTAGCAATGCTGTCTTTTCTTTTTGAAATATCTGGGTTGGTTTGGGTCAGATAATCTGCTTTTAAAACCAGTGTGGCCAAGGATCTATTTCAAGTCTCTTCAGATTACGTTCAGAGCCTGATCCTGCAATTTCTTGCTTGCTTTTTTCTCTCTCTCCCCCCTCTAAATATACATATCCTGACTGACTCCTATGAGATTAATTCAAACAGAGCAACTGCTGGATTAGACCTTAATCCATTTTCCATCCATTTAAATCATCCTGAATGGTGAGGGATTGTGGTGTGTTCCAGTGCTGGCCTAGGACTCATTTTATTTTGGCATCTCTCTGTTTTGCATGTTTTCTTTTTTTTTTTTCCTTTTTTCTTTCTTTTTCATTTTTTTTTTTTTTCCCCCTTTTCCCTTTGGCACATGCTCTGGCTTCAGTTGTATTTGTAACTTGCAATCTTACCAATATGATCTGGCAATGCTATCTGTCTTGAGAGATCACTCTTCCCCCCGCTTGCTCTGCAACAGCCAGTTCACTCTTATGAAACATCCTCCTCTCATCCACTTGGCTTTGCTCTGCAGATTCATGGGGTGTGAACTTTTGAAAGAATCAGCTCTGCTTATTCACATTGATAACTTTTTTTTTCAGCCATGCCCCACTATACCAATCACTAGCTCCCACATACAGTAAGAACAGTGCTGCTCAGAAGGCAGAATGTGGGCTCAGGGCTGGAAGAAAACTCTTCTATACGACAGTTTCCTCAAGGTAACTGGAGGCAACCTCCCGGCCACCAAACCTCCGGGTACCAGCGCTTAATCTGGGAAATACCAGGGAGCACCTCCCTGCACAACCCAAACCACACTGGTGCGGCGGGGTGTTAGGTGTATGCACACACCGACCAACAGCCTGCACATAGGGCAACCCAATAGCCTACAACTTCAGTTGGGGCCCAAAACACTGTGCAGGAGCGTAAACTCGGCCCCCGAGGGCCGCCGCTTGCTGCTTGGGACCGCGGGAAAGGTGGGATGGGGAGGCAAGGGCTGCTGGGGGCAAGGCCCCGGGCCGGGACGGCAGGGAGGCTTCCCCGGCGGCGGCGGCGGCTAAGGGGCGGAGGTGATGCGGTGTGGGGGACGAAGCCTCGCCGGAGGGTGTGGCCTCGCACGGGGGCGAAATACCGTAGCAAGGGGGTGGGAGGAGCGGCCCGGCCGGGGCAGGCCGGCAGCGGGGCCCGGGGGGCGGTGGCGGGTCGGGGCGGGCCGGGTCGGTGTGCAGCCCGAAATACCGCGGGGTCGTGACGCCCTCTGGTGGGGGCGGCGCGCAGCGCGGCCCGGCCCGGCCAGGCGTGGAGCGGGTCGGGGTGCTGGCCCGGCCGGGGGCGTCTGTGTTGGTGTGAGTGCGGGTGGAGGCCTGGGGAGGGAATGGGCTCGTGTGTGAATGCCAGTGCCTCCCAGCACGGAGATCCGCTTTGCTGCATTACGGTGCAAAGTAGATACAGCCCGTGCTGTGTTCTAGCCTTGTGGGCAATGAGATGCCTTGTCTCTCTTGGCCCCCAATACCTCTTGAACCCCTCTGGGGTGGTGAGTGAGGACTGGGCCATCCAGGTTCCCAGCTGGTGTGAATCGGCGGTGGCTGTGCTCGAGAAGAGCCCAACCTGCAGCAGGGCACCGGCCTGGACTGTTCCTTTTGGAGAGAGGGAGCAGAGCATAGCCTTGATCCAAGTGGGTCAGGCACTAGAGGTCAAGGCACAGCACACCTTCATGTGCTGCCTCAGAAGGGTCTGCCCACTGCTCCTCATGCCTGAGAGTGGGATAGGTGCCACCAACATCCAGGACCCCCCCTTAGCAGATGATTTAGCAAAAGGAGATACCTTCATTTTCTCTTTCCTTTTCTCACACATGCCCTGCCTAGTTTTAGCATGCATTTGGGCTTTTGCATCTTGCTTGGTTTTTTTTTTTGTCCTGTCCCCCAGAAGGAGTCCTGCTTTCAGTAAAAGCTGGAAGGTTTGAAATGAAGGTTGCTGACCTGAAAATTTTAGCTGGTTTAAGTCTGCTTCTTGTGTATTATTGATCTAGGTTTGTTCATTCTTAAACAGTTTTAGATTAACTGGATCAGCAGGAACCACCTGTATGTCACTGTTTGAGATAAATACAGTGGATTTCTTTTTTGGGAGCTGCAGAAGAGAAATGTCATGTTGTCCCTTCCAGTCACATGTAAGAGGTAGTTGTGGATTTCAAAGCAGAAAACCTTTCTAGCAATGAGCTCCTTGAAGTAGGGAGGGTGCTCCTTGCTATCTGGCATGAAAAGTGTTTTGAAAGTGTTGTTTGCTCATTGTCATTGGTGCCAGCCCAGATCTCTGTTTGCCAGTGCTGGTGGTTTGGCATCACTGATCTAGAGTGAGATCAAACAAGGGGGAATACGGAGCCAGAGCCTCAGTTTATTTACCCTAGTGTGACTGAATGGAGACATGCCAGTGTTAAATGTAGGTAAGCAAATACATAATCTGTCACTTGGACTCATTTTGACACTTAGTAAGAATAACTTACAATGCATCCTGTTGGACTACAGTGAAAAAGCAAAGACAGTGTGCATCTACTTTATCCATACGCTTCTAACTAAAGAGAAGGTTTGTAATCCGTTAGCAAAATGAAGCATGAATCTTGCCTAACTCCATATTCCTGTCACCCAGGATAACTTGCATCTCCATAGCATTCTTCCCTTTGGCAGGAAGAATAACAAGTAGTATATGAAATACTTTGGTTCTCTTAAATGTTTTATAAATGATGAGTAGAGATTGGACTTAACCAAAATAATGTCTTTAAATACCCTTTAATACACCAACTGCACCACTGAACAATATAGAACAGCTTAAGACTATACATGTATTTTCCGTATTTTTTTATTATGTATAGGATTTTGTTGTTGTTATGTGCTGACAGTGTGCTGATTAGCTTGGCAAAACTTACTTTATTTTTTTCTGACGAATGTTTGTAGAGGGTAAACAAGCAACTTAGTCTGTCAATGGAGCTGGGAGCACTGATCTTTTGTTCCTGATGAGTGTGGTCAAGGTATATGGCATCCTATATTTCACCATTGCTGATTTATATGTAGCTGGGCCTCTGTGTTTCACAAACCAAAATCAGTTAAGTAGCTGAAATTGTTCTGTGCTCAGAATCTCAGTTTTGCTAATTTGCTTGAAAGCAGTAGTAGACTTACTTTAGCTTTTATCTGTGAACCACTCTCTTAGCTTTGATTTGAAGGTATGTCCTGTACAGTCTGCTGCAGGCAACTGGTAACTGTGTTTGCAAGTAGGCAAACATTACTTAACCCTCGGATAATGCTGTGTTTAAATGGTTTAAATAGTTTGATTATTCATGTTTTTTCTGCTGACTTTCCCAAATAGGCCATTGAATAAATTTACTACCAGCTATTGAAACAGTAGTATTTAAGTAAATATTGTGCAATATTTTCACAAGACCATTTTCTGTTTAAAAAACCCAAGTACTGAAGGAGAAACTTGATTCAAAATGTCTCATTTAGCTAATCAAAGAAAATAAATGTTTGATCTCTGTCTTATATTCTGAGTTTCAGCATTATTTTGACTAATCTTGCAATGAGTTGCTGTCGACAACAACTTAGACAATGATTTCAAATTAATAACTGAGGAACTTGCAACAATGCAGATAAAAAATGAGAACATTTTAATTGGATGAGTTATTCACTGTGAACTATCCACCCTGTGCAGTAGCTGTTGTTCCTCTGGGGCTTTGGAGAGCATTAGCACCTCACTTGTCTTCCATGCTCCTTTTGCACAGCAACCCTGCAGGATACATGTGGCTTGTTACATGTCAGATCAGTGGTTAGGTAAGACATCTACAGAGAATGGTTTCCAAGATTTTCCTTCTAGGCCAACAGTTTGTAAACAGACTTTCAAAATGCTATGAAAATGGTTCCGTTTCCCATTTGCCCCTGGCTAACAAATAGCGGGAGCTCTGTACTTCTCTGTCTCTCTTCCTCAGTTCTTCTCCTGAAGGTGAAATCCAGAGTTAGAAGCCAGTTTCTCTCGGATTTCCTTCATGGCTGCGATTTGTTAACAAGAACTTGATTATTGCAGTGGAAGTAACTTGGGAAGTAATGGCTACTTCTGGCTATTTGCTGAAGTAATCAATTGCACTAATAGTGTAGCAGCCTGCTACTACTTGAGGTGTTCCTCCAATTTCAATGGCATTTTTGCCCTGTAGAGTGAAAAATCTGGCAACAAAAGGCACTGCATGCTCCAGCCATTCTGTCAGGCTGTGTTTGGTGACAAAAGCTTTGTTACACCTCAGACAGACTATGTGGAATATTTATAGCTTTCCTCAACTTCGCAGCTGAATCTGAGCTGCCTGCATAGATACTTCTTTGCATGATACGAGCTGCCCTGTGAGTGAATGTCACGAGCATGTTGAGTACAACTGAGTCAGGTTGTGGCAAGTGCCTTTGGCTGTTGAAGATAAGAAATCATGCTCACTCTGTTAGTGATCAGAGGCAGCGGCCAGAAATTGAGCTATATTGTTAGGTGAACTGGGCAAACATGAAACAAAGAGTCCTCAACTGGTACCATGGCTGTAGGCAACTAATACATGGTTTAAATGAAGGACAGAGTGGTGACAATCAAGATAATTCTTAGTTTTAATGCATGTCTTCTAGTTGGCTAATCCTGTGCACTCGTTAGTCCAAAATACCTTTTGTTTTCTACTTCCTTATATTCTGTAGATATTGTGTAGTATGAGTTACTGCATTTTTGTCTCGCCTTCCAGGTGCTGCAAAAGGCAAATGACCTTCATCACCAGCATTTTCCCATGGTGAGCTTTGACTGGAGTTGGAGAAAAGACAAAAATGAAATGAACAGCTCAATGTGACCATGCAGCTCAAGTCACTTGAGCCATGTCAGATGGCAAGCTATATTCTTAGGGGTCCTTATTGCAGCCAACTTATCTTCCAAAGAGGAAAGAAACCCTTCTTCTCAGATGGGTGCTTCACCTTTCACCAAGGGCCTCTTTTGTTCCTATGTTTCTTATATATTCTCTGTGCCAGCAAAAGTACTGCTTCTCATGGAATGAAGACAGTTAAAACAAGGTAATCACTGAGGCTTTTATCAGTCAGTTCCTTAAAATTAAACTGAGCAACATTTATCCAGGAAAACATAGCATTGCTCTGCCTGGCAAATTTCCATTACTTTTGCATAATGTGGATACATTTGGCATAGACATACCATAAGGTTCAAGTCTCGGGAAGGGATGCCAAGTAGTCACATCTGCTGGCTTGGGTGCCAGAGCAAACACTCCGCATTGCTTGAGTCAGGGCTTATGCTTCTCTTTGAGTTCAAAAGATGAGTGGAGGGAAAATTAGCTTCATAAAGGCATTTCAGCTGAATGTTAATACAGTTGTCAAATTTCTTTATGCTGTTCAGGGGTCTCAGCACTGACTATCACCCAGATAACTCTTCCCCTAACACCAGGATGGCTCTTTCAAGATCTGTAAGACAATATGCTGGAAAAGCCCTGGGCTGATAATGTGGCTTTTATGAGAAAAATATGTGGAATTCTTGTGCTGTATCACTTGCAAGATCCCACCTATTACTGAGTTGTGGTGCATGCAAATGCTTGCTCAGACATCCAAAGTTAAGTTTCCTCATAGTCCCAGGTACACTTCCCCAGTGGGCAGAAATGCTGGTAGATTGCTCTTATTTACTACCTTAAGCTCATATAGGCTCATAACTGAAGGAA